CTTCCCATCAGGTCCTGCTTCCCAAAAAGCCATGCCGAAACCCAACCTCAACATGAGTTTTGGAAAGTCAAAAGTAATTTAAATCATGGTAGACCCCTATCGAATTTTACACACACACACACACACACACACACACACACACACACACACACACACACACACACACAGGGTGGGGTGGTGGTGGTGGTGGCGGGGGTATGCATGTATGCATGTACACAGATTCCAGAAATTCTAACATTAAAGTGAAGGGGAACTCCTTACAAGAAAACTTTGTGATCTCGGGGCAGGGGAAAGTTGTTTATCTAAGCATGACCAATAATTATTTTTATAGATGGACCCATTTGAATACCTAAAACATTCAAATATTATATGTGATATGGAAACACTGTGAACACGGTTGTAAGGGAACTAAATGATACAGAATAGACAAAGAATAAAACAATTTGAAGCAGGTGGTGGCAGACACCTGTAATTTAAGTATTCAGGTAGTTGAGACAGGAGGACCACCATGAAGTCCAGGCTACCCTGGGCTACAGTATGAGACACCGTCTCACAAAACTGAAGTATCAATAACAAGAGTTCATATGCAAATTACTGTTGTCAGCCAACACTTATAAAAGGAAAGAAAAATGCAAATGCATGTGGGTAGCTCACACCAGTATAGGTTTAAGAACTGCTAATTAAAAGGTACTGCTGGTCATTTTCTTGATTACAGACAAAAGAAACTGACACCAGCTGGTTTCAGCAATAAAGGAATTTATAGGAAGCCTATCAGGTTAGCTCACAGAGAAAACAGAGCTGGAGAAACAGGCTTGGGCAGAAACTCAGGGAGGTAGACACCAGTAAGAACTTGTCATCACTAATGTAGCCAGCAAGACATGGACACTGGCTGCAGCCAAGCCTGGCATTATCCCTCACTGATGCTACGTGGCTGAACACATACCTATGGGGGGGTTAGTTCTCTCCAACTAACCTTGTTTCTACACTTCCAGAGTCTAAGTCTAGAGAGGCACATCTGGTTGGTCTTTATTAGGTCACCTTCCTGGGTTCTAGCTAACAGGGTGGGAAGAAAACATTCCTCCCAAACCTTGCTCTCTTTTCACGATAGAAGCTTGAGTTCTCTCCCCTCATTTTGTATCACTCTCAAACTGGAAGTTGGTTGTTAATGTTGAAGAGCCAAAAAGCCCAGCTTGTATTCAACCTCATTTGTACAAATAAAAGCACATTAACATGCCAGCTAAAATTATCACACTTCTTTTCATGTCTGTTAAAATATATTGCTGACTACCTGGCTACTCAGCAGAGTATGTGGCACTTTAATACATTACCAAATATGTGACTATCAACATAAATGTGAAGACAGGCATCCATTCTTTCCAGAGATGAAAAGCTGATTCCCAAAGAAACAGGCGTTTCCCCAAATCTCTTCAGTGTTAAATAGTGTTAATTTGTTCAGACCCTGACTTCTGACTCCTAAAAGCAGTGATGCCATCTGGGTTCTTTTTTATTCAAGCTGCCGATGTGATAAAGATGATAAGACCAGCATCTTCTGCTGGGTGTGAACTGTGTTCTCCATCCATTGTTTTCCAGATAAAGCTGCCCCAAGGTAAGCTTGACAGTACATAACATGCACACGCTCCTTGGCCTGAGTTTCAGCTCAAGGGTAGTCGTGAGAATAAACCGAGCATAGGCAAGGACACTCCCCACTGTGTTCATGTTTCTCATTTGTATTTCCCGAGCTTTAGTGTAAGGGAGGGGCGGTGGGATATTTATTATGGAATGATGTTTCCAGTAAGTCTTAAAGAAAGAACATATTGGGTTGAGAGATGGCTCAGTAGTTAAGAGTGCTGGCTGCTCTTCCTGGGTTCAAGTCCCAGTACTCACAGGGCAACTAATGTCTGTGACTCCAGTCTCAGGGAATCTAATGGCCTCTTCTGGCCTTATAGTACACTGTACATATGTGATGTACAGACATACATTCAGACAAAACACTCATAAGCATAAAAATACATAAAATATAACAACAACAAAAAACAGATTAGTGCTCCAACAAGGGACTCTTCAAAGACTGTTCTGAACAAGCCCAGGATTGGATGGTATGGGGGTCCCTGGGGACCAATATGCCTAGACTAGTAGTAGGAGCTTGTAATGCAGTCCTCAGATATCCTTCCAGGAGTTCACATGTAATTTGGATATACTCTGCAGAATAAGTGATCTTAACTGAGTATCCCAAATGAGTAAGATGGGTGAGGTCTTGTGGGTTGAGCCTATGGTATACTGGAAGTGACTGTGGTGGCTTGAACGGAGATAACCCCCAGAAGCTCATGTATTTGAATGCTTGGATCCTAAATAGTGGAACTGTTTCCGTTTTGAGTAAGAATTAGGAGATGTTTCCTTATTGGAGGAGGTGTGTCACTGAGGGTGAGCTTTGAGCTTCCAAAAGCCCACACTAAGCCTAGTGTCTGTCTGTCTGTCTCTCTCATTCATGCACACACACACTCTTGTTCTCACTCTCATTCTCTCTGCCTCCAGCTTTTGGATGAGATGTAATCTCTCAGCTACTGCTTCAGCATTGTTCGTGCCTGGCTGCTATAATGCTTCCTGCAGTGATGATCACGGACTCACTCTCTGAAACTGTAAGAAGTCCCCAGTTAATTACTTCCTTTTATAAGTTGCCTTAGTCATGGTGTTTCTTCCCAGCAATAGAACAGTAACCAAGATAGTGGCTCACAGTGTGTTGAATTCCAATAGGGTCAAGTTAATGCTGTGGCCAAAAAAGTACCAAGAGTCTACAGAAATGATACCTCCAGGAGGAGTTCACACCAAAGGTAAGATTTTAGGGATAAGGAGAGGTGAACTAAGTGAGGAAGTTCAAGGGAAGATACCTGAAGTGGGTAGATTAGCTTGGGCAAAGGTTCTCTCAATCAGGATCATATCACTAGGAGCAGCAAGTATGTGTGCAAAGGTGGAGGGCCATGGGCTTCAGCTTTGGTTGTCATTAGATGGCTTTCTTTCTGATGTTGCAAGGAGCTTGAGATACAATGAAGGTAGATGTTTTGATTAGGAGGTAGAAGTGGAGTTGGTTCGAACCTATTCAGAGCAAACCAAGAACATCAGTATAGGATACCATACTTACTATTGGGTAGAAAACTAGAGGTCAAAACTTTGAAATGGGTCTAGGATGGCCTTTCTATTTTTAAAATGTTATGGGCTTTCTTTCCCAATATCTCCATGCTGCAGTAACCAGGATACAGGCTAGTCTCTCAGCAAAGAGGACATACAAGGAGAAGGTCACAAACCAGTGGGGTTTGAGTAGAAGGCACCCTTAATGCACACTGTTCTCCCATGCACTATTTTTTTTCCTTTTCAAATTGAACCAACATTTAAAAATAGAATTCCCACCTTCTCTTTAGAAATCAGATGATCTGGCAGCACTAAATCCTCATTCTCACATGTGAACAACTGACTGGAGGTGAGTGGCAGCCATCCCTTTAGAAGAATGTTAATTAGCAGTTTGCCACTGTCCACAACAATTCTTGTGTTCCCAAGTCACATGAAGCATGACCTGATCACCAGGATCCTTTGTTCATTGTCAGGACCTATCTGGTCTCTGCGATAGTAGTGGGTCTGTGACCCTTGGTTTAAAGATCAGGTTAAGGCTTTGAATCAAACTTGGGTTGAAATGAGATATCAAAAGCATTGAACTGAAGATTAAAGAAGGTATACCATGCTTGGTATATCGTGTAGAATACAGAGGTTTTTGTATAGTGAATGAGTATTGTATTATGAATGAGTATCCATTGAGAGTGTAAATTGTAGGAAGGCAAACGGAAACCCAGTTAGTTCCATTCTTGTTTAGTACAGTATTTGGCACACAGTTTAAGTGTTCGGTAGCTATTTATTGAATGAACGAATGGATGGATGAATGAATGAATGAGTGAATAATGAGAGAGCTCAGTGGATTTAAAGGCTTATTTTATTTTATTTTTTTTGAAAAACTTTTCACTAAGGCAATTCTAATAATACTGGTTTGCTGGGATCTCAAGGTACATCCTGGTAGAAAAGCCCACCAGAATGTGCCAGGCTCTGTGACCGCGTTCGGGTGATTCGCGGCAGCTGGAGCCAGCTGGGTTAACTTGCCTAGGACAAGACAAAGCTACGCCCATGAGCTCTTTCACCACCTGGCAAGGGACAGTTTGATTTCCGAACTTTCTTTAGATCGCTTCCATTTGACGAGCAGAGACCGAGACCCACCCCTAAAATCCACCACCCAGCGCTTGCCCAAGCTTACGGGACTGTGCCCACACTAAACATGGCCAGCCTCGGGCTTCACACCGCAGAACCACGCCCGGAGCCTGGAGTCCTAGAGTCGGGCTGTAGGGACAGCACTCTTCCCACAGTCAACATGGTGGCTGCACAGCTTCAGCATGGGGCGGGGCTGCGAGCCGGGCGGGTCACGTGAGCCGCCCATTGGGCGGCCG